AGGAATAATCTTCCGCCAAGATTGTATAATATGCATAAAAATTCCAAATGTTAGATCGACAAAGACAGATCAAATACAAAAATTTAAGCCGTGCTAGCTGCTCACTAGCTCTCCAGAAATTTTTGCAGGCCTCGGTGTCCTCATAATTGCCGGACACCCATAGAAAGTCATCGTCGTTTACTTCTTTGTTTGGGTTACCATTAATAAGTTTTGCTTGGCGCTTCCGAACTTTGAGGTACCAGCAAAAGCCGCCTTTATTTTTGCTAAGTGTATACTAATGGAATATCTCAGCTAGGTCGAGGTTCAAACCGAGGACTCGGTTCAGTGCGGCCATGCCATTTATTATCTTATAAGTATTATTGGACACTTGGGTTGGACACAGTAGTCTACCTTAAAAATTCGCAAATCAAGGGTTGGACCGAGAAATGTAGGTCGCCTTCCACAATGGACATGACCGTGAAGAGGCAGACGTCTAATTTACCCCAAAGAGTGTCTCATTTTTTGGCCAGCTCAAAGTGGTCGTCATCTGGAATGTTGTATTCTTTATGGAACTCGGCAATGACGCCTAATGAACTAACCATAAATCAGTATTTTCCCATTTACCCCGATCTTTTTTTTTATGTGATAAATAGCTCAGCAATACACTCTGGTGATTATTCGCTCGGTCTTTGAACTTCACTGATTATGATGTTGATGTGTGCCTGGTTGGCCCTAGTTTGGTCTGCATAATAGAAATCAAGTGCAAGTGTTAGCGCGGCATTTTCTGCATGGCTCCAAGATTAAAGAGCATTTTAGCTTGGCTATCAGAGTGAGGCCTGATAGCTCAGTTTAGGACCTAAGAGTGTTAGGCTGGTCTTGGGCCTTAGTCGCTAATATTTGGGTTCCTATCTCGGTTTGGTGTCCCTACAAGCTCCTAGCGCGGTCACCACCTCTTGGCAGGACCACAAACAAGTTGTAGCCCAGCTCAACCCTATTTTGGATCTAAAAGTGGGATTTTTCTCGGTTTTACCCATAATTTGTGTTGTTTATCCTAAACGCAAAGTTGCATACGGAAACTCAAGGGGGATGGGGGACATGAAGGCCCCACACATATTCTCTATTTCGATTTTGTCTAATTTCTATAAATACTTACCAATTTTACCCCAAAAGGGGAGCATGGGCAGAGTATTGGCAATCCCAAACGAGAAAAAACTTGAAAAACACGAAGAACAGTGGTACAAAAAAGAAAATGACAATGAGAACTTACAGATTCAGAAGCCAAATCGAGGTTCAATCAACCACGTCCTCCGCTGCAACGTCCTAGGCGAGGGAAAACATCGGAAACAATGTTAACAGGAGCAACGGCAGTGACGACGATGATGGTAGGAGCTCAGGGGTCTAAGGTTTTGAGCAAGAAAGAAAATGAATAGTGATTTAGATTTTTTGGCTTCTTGCGCATATATATAGAGGGAAAACAAAAGGGCGGCAACCTTTAGAATTTTTGGCATAATGATGACAACTATGGGCTTGCACGGAGCGAATGGAGGAATGCCACGTAGCAAGGAAACGACTGGTTGTCAGTACGACAGAAGAGATGTCAGTGTGTCTGACTGATCGATGACAAGACAACTTGCACAAGTCTCGAAGACCGTACGTAATTGATAGCTCGGTAATGAAAGGTAATCCCAATCACGCTCAACGCGGATAGGATTAAGGGGCAATTGAGAGGGGGATTTACGCCAAGCATTGGGCTGGTCTAGGTATAGCACGATCGCGTCATCTGTTGGGCCTGGATTAACACGGGACTGATGTAAGGCCGAGCAGAGGTTGTACGACATACGCCCTGGGCAGCACCAAACAAGATTGACACTTGGTACTGCCAAGCTAGGTTTTTCACCATGACCGATGGGATCATCTTAATCGGAAGGGCTAGCAGTACGCCCTTATTCGACCGACCTGAATAGATGCGAGCTACGCGGCGACTGAGCTATCGGTCGCTCGCATTCAACCCGGTGTAAGGGACATCCGGATTGACGTAGTTTGGAAATGACACTGAGGAGACAGTCGATCAGATTTCCCTCGGTATTTGGAAAGTCAGGGTTGGTGCTGTTTATTGCTAAGTAATAGTTTAGTCAGGTATTCCACGTGGACCAATAACGAGAAGAGAGGAATCCACTCCTGGTATGCGTCAATACCGTTTGAAGGTGCGACAAACACTGTTTGGTAGTTTGGGTCTCTACATGTGTAAGAAAGGTAGAGGGGAGCATGATCGCTTGTCCAGTAAAGGACAACAGAGGTAGTGCGTCCACAATCTCTGAGACTGCATGGCCAACTTTGGAAAGGAGGAGCAGGCAAACGTTAAAGGTAAGGAATTTCGAACTCTCTTTCTCTAGAGTACTCTGTCTTCTCGCTTCTCTTAGCAAGCTAACTTGACCGTCGGAGGGGCTTTCTGGCAAACCCACCCGCCGAGTAGCTCACCCTCGTTTTGTCTATAGTGTGACGAAGTTCTAACGGAATACGACAAGCTTGATAGCAATGAAGTACGGAGCGAGGCAAATATTTCTCCCCCGCACACAATGTATAACAAGCGTTCTAATTTGGTTTCCAACCTAATTTTATCAATTGACATTGTTAAAATAAAAAATAAATGTCAAAACTCACTTTAAAAAATTACACTTTTGATCTTCAAAATATAACATCTGTATCATTAATATGAAATTTCATATGAAAAAATTACATTATTAACCTCTGCAATATGTGATTTGTCAAAATTATACATTTACTTCTAACGTTAGCTACATTTATTGATGAAATTAGATTGAGAATCAAATTAAAATACTTTTTATATATTAAAAATTAAAATAATATAATTTAAATATTATGAACTAAAATGACAAAAATTATTCATTGAAAACTAAAAATGCAATGAGTAATGTTATGGATATTAAATTTTTTACCAAATAAATGACTAAATGTCTCACATGAATGTGAAGCAAAAAAAAAATAGACCTTACACCCATATGAGATATTTAATTATTTATTTAATAGAAAATTTAGAATCTACAATATTTTTCAAATACAATTAACCCATTGTAATACTAGATTTTTTTTAAAAAAATTAGTGAAAGATGACACGTGGTGATTGGAAGAGAAGACACGTGAGAATGGTAGAATATATACTTTGCTTGCAAGAGGAGAGGAAGCGGGGTCCACGTTGTAGAAGTAGTTGGTTCCTTTCGTTCTTTAGAGAAAGAGAGAGACAAGGAGGTCCACAAGTGGAGTGCTCTTTCGGATTTGTTTCTCCTTGTTTTTGTTTTTGTTTTTTTTTTTAAGAATAACTTACAAATGTAACTTTTAAATTTTATTTTAAATATGAATTATTTTTATATAAAAAATTAATTAACAGAATTAATAGAAAAAATAATTTTTTTAATTACTCTTTTATGCATAAATAAAATTACTTAAATTATTAATTAAAATATATTTATAATATTATTAAAAATAATTAATTAAATTGATAATTTATTAATAAAAAATCATCTGTTGAACAATTAAAATTTGAAAGAGTAAGTAATTTTTAGAATCACAAAAATAATTTATGTTTTAAATAAATTGTTGTATTTGTAATTTATTTATTTTAGTGTTTTTGTTTTTGCGGTCTTTATCGAAGAGCGGACCCAAATATTCTCTCACTTCTGTCACGTCAGACATGACATGACTTCTCTGAATACGACGCCGTGATTTCTGAAGTAGAAAATCCAACAAATCCCCCATCTAACGGCTCTAAATTTGGTTAAAGATCATGTGATTAAATCGTAACCGTTGGTTAATGCTAGCAAAGTCACGATCTAGTCAATCTGAGCTAAAGAGGGATTTTTTTTATTTAATCAAAAAGAGAAACAATTATTAAATACCTTTTTGATAATTTTTTGTTTCGGAATTTTGTTTCATTTTAATTTTTAATATTTAAATTATGTCAATTTTATTTTTAATATATATAATTATTTTAATTTCATTCATTGTGTCAGTTTAATTCAAAATATAAGAAAATTATTTTAACTAAGTAACTAAATTGAAACATTTTAATATATTATGGAACTAACTGAAACACCTTATGTATTGGGGACTAAATTAAAATAATTTAAATATTAGGAATGAAATTAACACACATTTATACATTAAGGTTTAAATTAATACAAATAAAATATCAAGAATCAAAATGACATAAACTTATATGTTAAGGATAAAAAATGTATTTACCCTTTAAGATGAATTTCTCCATATAATACCTAAGATCAACAAACAATAATTTTTTTGTTAATTCTTTCCATCATATGATTTATTGATATGACTATAATATATAGCAAAAAAATATATTATCATCAGTAAATGTAATCCACACTAATTTCAGAAACTCACAAAAATTATTAAAAAATTTATCTTTAAAAATAATGTGATCTAAATTTAATTTTTTTTTTATTGTGGGACTTAGAAAATAAGGTCAAGTTTGGCAACCCAAAAATAATCCATCTTTTTATCTTTTTTTCATCACATAACCTCTCTACTTTTCTGTACATCTTTTCGTAAAAAGACAAAAAGTGTACTTATTTAAGTCATTCCAAATAATCCTTAAATCTCAACAACGTAGTGTATATATATATATATATATATATATTGGATAATACTAAAGACATTTAATTTTCTAGTTAATAATTTACACACTATAATGTGGATGCCACACCATATAGTAGAAAATTAGGCGCACATACCATTTTTTTTTTTAATTTTGATAAATTTTTTAAATCTTTAATATTATTATTTTTTTCATCAACCAACCATATAATTCATAATACCATAAAACTTTTCATTGATTAGATTAATACTGACATATGATATTACAATCATATCCAATATATTTAGTCCATTCAAACTTGAGAATTCTATAGATGAGACAATGGGGACAGTGAGGGGGCCCACTTAAGTTTCCACCGACGGTAGCATGCAGCCGCTAGCTAGGCTGCTCCCACCACCACCCACTCCCTTTTTCTTCCTTCTTATTCACAACTCTCACTCCCCCATCTCCCCAACCCTCCCATACAAACCACCAATCTTTCTCTCTCTCTCTCTCTCTCTCTCTCTCTCTCTCTAGCACTCAAGGAGTGAAATGCATTGTTCTTGAAGAATTGGCCCGCTCATCAATTGCCCACTTCGCTCCAAGTGAAGTTTGTTCAATGGCTCTTACTTCTCTCCAAGTTTGCATGGATTCTTCTGATTGGCTACAGGTATATGTCACGCCTTCTCTTCTCTATAGAAGAAATTTTGTGGTTTTCATTCATTACAATATGAGACAGTAACATTCTTGCAATTAAGAGTACAATAATATTTTGATTTAAAATAAATTGACATAAAAGATTGTGTTATTCTATGCATTTTTATTTTGTTTGTAAAAATAAAATTATATTTGTATAATATTACCCTTCTCATCATGAATTTTTTCTCAACAAGTCTATACTTGCCACATAATTTGTTCATAGAGACATGCTCATCTTTAATTTTGTCTTTCTTTTGTGTAAGTTTCTGTGATGTAGATGTTTGGCATTTTTAAAATGCAAACACTATGTGAAATGAAACCTACAAATTTCCCAATGCCCTCAAGATTTTTCCCATGTTCAATTTTAATAATCAACATTAGTCTAAGATTATGTGAAAGCTATGATCAAAAGATATATAAAAAGAGCTAACCATGTAGGCAATTAATTCAAAAGGCTAGCAGGGTTGCTTTTGAAATAGAAATGAAAGAAACACTAGTAATTCAATGACTTAATGGTTTACAGAAGTATTGGAAATTGAATTTACAAATAAGATTTATTCTGATTTTGTTCTCACAATAATAATTTGAAATTTACATCGTAAATTTCACGTTTGGAATAGTTTTCAGAATCTTTTCGAAGTAAGTAGCATTTCAGTTAATTATTTAGACTTATACCAATATCTCAAGTAGTAAGTAAGCAGTCTTATCTTTTTCTTTTTTATATATAAAGAAGTTAACTTTTGTAATTCAAAATAGTAAAAAATTTCACTAAATTTGGAAACTTATAATAATCTATTTGATTACTTACACACTTCATATAGGTTATGTGTAATGTGGGAATTTCTATCTTTGGAACTTTAGCTTATGGACATTTTGATCGATATAACTAAAATCACAAAGGATAAGTACTTGCACTATTCTGATGACAACTCTGACACATTTGCATTTCATGTCAGGACACTATCCACAATGAATCTCCAATGGATTCTTCTTCTCCATCTGGAGACATGCTCACATGCCCAAGACCCTTGATGGAGAGAAGGCTTAGGCCCCAACATGACCAAGCCCCAAAGTGTCCACGGTGTGACTCAACCCATACCAAGTTTTGCTACTATAACAACTACAGCCTTACACAACCGAGGTACTTCTGTAAGACCTGTAGGAGGTACTGGACTAAAGGAGGAACACTAAGGAACATACCGGTTGGCGGTGGATGTAGGAAGAACAAGAAAGTTTCTTCCAAGAAATCAAATGATAATCAATCGGTCAATCACCAAAACTCTGGCGGATCATCATCTCACAGTCCGACCGATCTGCAGCTTTCGTTCCCTGAGGTGCAACTTTCTCACCTCACTAACTTGCTAGGGAACCATGGAGGACTTGGAAACCCTAGTTTCTTGGAGAGCAAGTATAATGCAAATGTCATGTTTGAAAACCCTAGGCCCATTGATTTTATGGAAAGTAGATATGAAGGTTTGGTTGGAATTTCTAGAAATCATGATTTTATGGGGAGTGGTGACCTGGCAATGATGGGTGGGCTTGGTCATGACATGAGCCATGACCATGGGTTGACAATGACACCTAATTTTCATGGCTTATGCTCTCCTTTTGGAGAGAAATTATTCAGTACGCCTGAAGCAAATCTAAGTGATCAGGTACCTTTTATGGACACATGTCAGAGGCTAATGCTTCCATATGAAGGACATATTGAGGATCAAACCACAATGGATGTGAAGCCAAACACCAAACTTTTGACCCTTGAGTGGCATGATCAAGAAGCTTCTGATGTTGGGAAGGACTCTTTTGGGTATCTCAATAGCATGGGATCATGGACAGGAATGATGAACGGCTATGGATCGTAAGAGTATTTTACATAACACGTACAACATTGTAGAGTACTTATTTCTTTCACAAATATATAAAACTCACCTCTGTGGGGTTCATATATTTGTAAGAGAGAAGAGCACCACAATAATGTACTCATTACACAAAATACCACCTCTTATGGATCATCTGCAAAAATTAGTCTAAACCCTTTGTAGTCAATTGTCCGGAATTGCATGTTGCCACGATCAACGGCTGTGGATGAAGATACCTAAACATAATCTAGGACTTAATATTAGTACTTCTAATTAAGTATGTGCCTTTGATGGAAAGGTTTTTAATGTTTCTTTCTGTGAAGGTTTTTCTTTTTTCCCCTCTTTAATTGATTAACCAAGTGTTGTTGAGTGTGAATGAGAGTGTGAGAGTTCAAAAATGACTGCTTTAGATAGTGCCTAAAGGTTGTTCTCTCCATCCTTTTATTTATTTATTCTGGTGTTGTTCAATCATATTCTATATTTTATATCTATCTTATTATAATTTTATCTTTGGTGTAAGGCATTAATTCGAAGTCTTAGGATTTAGTTGAGATTTCAAGGATATCGCTTTTTTAGTTGCATAAAAAGATGTTTTGGAATTTAGAGAACTTGGTGTATCTTTTTCTAGTTATATAACTTTTGTGTGCTGATGTGTTGAGTTTGGTAATTTTTTTAATTGCATTTACACTTAATACACTGAAGATTACATTGATATAAGGGTTGATTCCATTTTTAACACCTATACTTTTTCAAATTTCACTTTTATCCCTATAATTTTAAATTGAACAATATAGTCTCTGCACTTTAAATTCAATTTTAATTTGGTTATTCTGTCTAAATTTTCATTAATTTTTCCTATGTGTACATTGTAGGAGATTGACATGTGTTCCAAATCTTTAAATTTAACCTCTAACTTGAACTGAATGACCAAACAAAAATGAAATTTAAAGTGTAGTGACTAAACTATTTAATTTGAAACTATAGGGGGCTAAAGTAAAAACTATAAGCGTAAAAATGTAATCAACCTTGATATAATTTAAATATTAGAGACTAAAATGACAAAACTTGCATACTTTCGGGATGAAAAGGTAATTAACCATTTTACTTATTTATTGGCACCAATACATCCAAATTTAGTAATGTTCCCTGGTATGTAAATTGGCATGAAGCCCACGCACAGTTTTGGGCCCACAATACATGGCACAGCCCAAACCTGCACCCGATTGCGGGATTTAGAGAGAAATTTGGAAAGGAAAATAAAAAAAAGTAGATGAAATATAAATAAAATATACCTAAATTTCACATAATTTTGCACACATTTTCTCTTTTCGTTTTTAAATTTCTACCAAAATCTCCTAACTAAATACAATATAAATAGAACTGGGTCTAGATTTAAAACTCGGCCCAGTGATCCACCAGATCCAAGCCCGCTAAGGTTCTTGTTGCAATAACAATATTTTATTTGGTTTTTGAAGTTGTTAAAGGAAATAGCAATACTAGGTATTATGAAAAGTCTTTTATGAAAGTGATCATGAAAGATTTGTGATCTTTGGATTACATTTAGAATAAAGCACTTCACACTAATCAAGGTAATCTAAGGGTCACAAATCTTTCATAATCATTTTCATGAAATTTTTTTCATAATTCCTAACATTTCTCTAAGGGAAAAGAAAGGAAAGTACATGAAAATGATAAAGCAAAAAGAAATTAAATTATGAATACTATATGGATAAAGCGAAAAGAAAATGATAAAAGAGATAAGTAATTTTATTCTTCATTTTCTCAAAAAATTTAATATCCAAAATCATAATATCACATTGACTAAGAGCATCTCTAACAGTCTCCCTAGATCCACCTCTTACTTATTTTAAGGGATTGAAATCTCAAAATACACCTTCATCAGTTCTCCTAAATAATTCATCAAATACGAGTGTTGCTACAGTGACTTCTTATTTGTAAAGAATCACTGTAGCTCACTTATATCTGATAAAAGATGTGAAGGAATGTCTTTCCGGACGTCCCCATGAATGCCTGCCCAGATGTCCTGTGATTACCCTGTAGCTAAAGAAAAAAAACACAAAATTAACTTGACCGGTCGACCGCTCTGCTTGCTATGTACTGCTACTTTGCTTTGCCTTTATAATGATTAGAAATATTATTTAAAAAAAAGTGATTCAGGTGCTGATGCTTTACTTTCATAATAATTAAAATTATTATTTAATAAAATAGAGAAAGAATATGAAATTGATTAGGAGAAATAGATAAAAAAAATAATTCTTAAAATAAAAAATAAATTTTTTAATAATATTTTAAGATAAAATTTAAATAAATGGCTGAAATGCTCTAATGTGGATATTAAATTATGAATACTATGATCACAGTCTGTTACGCTGATTGAGGAGTGAGAGTGAATTATGAATGAAATGAGCCCCCACACAAACATTTTTGGTGCCATTATATAACTTTATCAAGCTAAGCTTCCTTTGACATTTGATTTTTTGGGGCAAAAAAAAAAAAAAAAAAGATAAAATTAATTATATCTATATAATAAGGAAGGATAGTTTTTGAATTGTGATGGGACTTTTATCCCTTTGTCAAAATGTGAACCCTTAGATTAATTCAATCCAACAGCCACAAAATGTATAAAGACAAATTATCTTTCAATGGTTGAGATTGTTTGTGCACATCCTACGGTCGATATACATTCTTTCCTTCCATACCTTTCTCTTCAGCTGACTCTCTCTCTCTCTCTCTCTCTCTCTCTCTCTCTCTCTCATTCAAAATTCAAAATTCGACTCTCCCTCATCTCATTCTCAGGGCTCATAGATTGGAGGGGAGGATTTTCAATGTCAATAGGTCAGCTCTCTCTCTCTCTCTCACACACACACAGTTTCTTCAATATGAAACCCACCTTAGCAGGGTTTTCCCTTATGTGTATATTTATTGATTACAGTTTTCCTTAAAATGTGTATATATATATATATATATATATATATATATGAGGATTGAAATGTGTATATATATTTAGATACATATTTATTTTTCACTATTGATTTGTAGTATTGTTGTGTATAATGTATATGCAGGACTTGCGTTGCGGCCGATACTCGGATGTCGACTGGTTACAGTATTCTCTCTCGCGATTACTCCAAGATCTGTAAACTGTACGCTCTCTTTGTTGTTGTGTTTTTTATGTTATTGTATTTCTCTTAAGTGCTTATTATTCTGAATTGTAGTTAGATCAAGTAATTTTTGATGTGGGAATTACTTTTTTTTCAAACACTTTTCGGATTAATGTTATGAGGATTTTCCCTCTGTTTTTTTTTTTAGATGCATATAGGATTTGGGGTATATTTTTTTGGGTTTTGTTGATTTTTCTTATATATATATATAGACATTATCTATGTATATTAGTTGGTCTGAGAAGGGATATTACTTGGCAAAGAGAGGAGAATTGATTCTTGAGTGTTTTAACAGTGATTCTCAGCCCCTGATGGACATATTGTCAAACCAACTAAGAAAAGTCCGAGAGTGAGGGAATGGGAATTATATATCTTATTTGAGTTTTCTTCAATTAGCAATTACATCATTCATTTAAAAATCCTCATCAAGAACGAATTAAGGTATATATATATATAACAAAACATAAAATTGCGTGAGAGACCAAGAAGAGGAATAAAATAAGATTTCAGTCTGTTTAGTAGTACTACATATAGATGATAAAATAAACTAAATTCTCACAAATAAGATTGGAGGTGAAAATAAACTAATGACTACAATGAGAGTAAAGCAATATCTGAGAGTGAGGGAATGGGAATTATATATCTTATTTGAGTTTTCTTCAATTAGCAATTACATCATTCATTTAAAAATCCTCATCAAGAACGAATTAAGGTATATATATATATATAACAAAACATAAAATTGCGTGAGAGACCAAGAAGAGGAATAAAATAAGATTTCAGTCTGTTTAGTAGTACTACATATAGATGATAAAATAAACTAAATTCTCACAAATAAGATTGGAGGTGAAAATAAACTAATGACTACAATGAGAGTAAAGCAATATCTGAGAGTGAGGGAATGGGAATTATATATCTTATTTGAGTTTTCTTCAATTAGCAATTACATCATTCATTTAAAAATCCTCATCAAGAACGAATTAAGGTATATATATATATAACAAAACATAAAATTGCGTGAGAGACCAAGAAGAGGAATAAAATAAGATTTCAGTCTGTTTAGTAGTACTACATATAGATGATAAAATAAACTAAATTCTCACAAATAAGATTGGAGGTGAAAATAAACTAATGACTACAATGAGAGTAAAGCAATATTTGGGAGTGAGGGAATGGGAATTATATATCTTATTTGAGTTTTCTTCAATTAGCAATTACATCATTCATTTAAAAATCCTCATCAAGAACGAATTAAGATTTATATATATATATATATATATCTATCCAATAGAAATTTAGGCAAAATCGTACTCAGCTAGTAAGCTTTAGATTAACAAACGAAAGAGAAATAATTGAGGCTTAAACCATCTCCAACCCTAGTATTAGATTTGTCATCAAATTTAAATTTGATGAAACACGCTACTTTTTGGGCTCCAATCGTGGCATCAAACCCGTATCAAATGAGAGGAAAACTAAAAATTTCATTAAATTAAGGGAGCGTTTAACCTTTTATCAAATCTCAATAGTGATCGTTGGTGGATGATCGGATGGATGACTGGCCGATCAACTGAGTGGACAACTGACCGAACTTGACCAGTTGGGCAATCGGGTGGACGACCGAATTGAAAAATTTTTGAAGAAAATTTACATTAGGCCAAACTACCACTGCCCCGATTGACTGGTTGTTTGATGAAAATTAAAAATTTAACATTAAAATATTTGTTATCAAATAAAACTTTTAATCAAATCTTTACTCAAATTTAGCGTTAGAGATACTCTAATAGCAACTTTTCACTCACTTCCCCCCTATTATTCTTAAACTTTTCCCAATCATTATCATCCTGTCCTTAACCCACCCTAGCCCTTCCCTATCCACTCCCAGTCTCATTCACTGCATTCTCGGTCTTCATCTACTATCTCCAACCTCCTCCATCCCATCTCAATCTCCTTTCGCTGCTCTCAACCTTATTTTTCCTCAACCTCGTCTATCCACTATTGGTCCCTTTCATCATCATCAACAACACAACAAAATAAAAATAAAAAAAAATAAAAGAGAGAAGAAATGAAGATCAAAGTAGGCTTTCACACTTTGCAAATGTAATTCACGACTGATTTGGAGTGGGTTTTTGCATAGATTGAAAAAGGAAGGGATTGGTTTGGAGTGGGTTTTTGCAAAGATTGAGAAAGGGTAAGGTTTTGCAAATAGGGGAGGGAGGAGAAGGGGAGGAAGGAGAAAGGGAGAGAAGTGAATAGAGGAGACAATGCAAATATGGGAACAAAAAATTATTATCTCTATGATTTTTCAATTAATTTTGCTTCCATGTCTAGT